CGGAACCTTCTTTGGGGACTGGGGACAGGTAGGTCATTGTACAGGTAGTCCTCGACCTACGACCATAATTGAGCCCCATATATCTGTTGCTAAGTGAGGCCTTTGTGAAGTGAGTTTCGTCCCATTTTACGAACTTTCCTGCCAACCTTGTTGAGGGAATCACGGCAGTGGTTGTTAAGTCAGCAACACGGTTGTTAAATGAATCTGGCTTCTCCGCTGACTTTCCGCTGATCCGAAGCTCGTAAAAGGGGATTACATGACATGACCCCGGGACGCTCCAACCGTCATAAATATGAGTCAGTTGCCAAGCATCTGAATTTTGATCACGTGACCGTGGGGAGGCTGCAATGGTTGAAAGTGTGAAAAACGGTCATAAGTCACTTTTTTTCAGTGCCATTGTAACTTTGAATGGTCACTAAATGAACTGTTGTAAGTCGAGGGCTACCTGTATTGCCTTTGATACAGCCTGGCCTCATATGATCACTGCTGTATGGAATGGGACAACTCACCAAAGTCAAGTTGCTGTGGCCAACTCTCCATGGCCAACTCTTCTTGGCCAACTCTTCTTGGCCAACTCTCCATGGCCAACTCTCCATGGCCAACTCTTCTTGGCCAACTCTCCATGGCCAACTCTTCTTGGCCAACTCTCCATGGCCAACTCTTCTTGGCCAACTCTCCATGGCCAACTCTCCATGACCAACTCCCCATAGCCAACTCGCTGTGGCCAATTCACCATGGCCAACTTGCCATGCCCAACTTACCACAGGACAACTTGTCACAGGACAAAATAACAATTCAATTTAATTCTTGAAAATAAATAAAAAAAATATTTTAATTTTGGTCATTCCCATTTTATTCCATCCCTCCTTTTGCATCCTTTCTTTAATGATTGTATTCCATCATTTCTTTGGTATCCGTGTAACTCTTGTCCCGCGGTGAGTTGGCCATGGCAAGTTGGCTGTGGCGAGTTGGCCATGTTGAGTTGGCTTGCAATGAGTTGTCTGCGGTGAGTTGTTGCAGACCCACTGCTCTAGCATCACCTGGTAACCTCACTCAACTAACTCAATGGACGGGGCTTCCGTGTGCATTAAGCATGATCCTGTCTGTGTGACTTGGTTGACCTCCCAATCCACTTGATACCGTCATGTGTTGTTTGGAGAATGAAGCTCAAGGATTCTTGAAGCCGTTGGCCCACTGCTCGTTTTCCCCAATGATTAGAGGGGGGAAAGGTGGCTAATTCTAGTTTAGAATCAGTTCCTTCTCAGAAATTATCAGGAATATGAATATTCATAGACTGGAATAGGCAACAGATCAGCCAATGGGGACTGCTTGGATAGACATGGTAACAGGTAAGCCAATGGGGACTGTTTGGAAACTGAAACATAGTATTTGTATGTATGGGGCCATAAGAGAGAGTTTGTAGTCTGGGCGTGGCTTAGACTTGCTGAACTGTATATAAGAGTTGGTTTGGCCTCTGTAATGGGAGCCTCTGTACAATATATTAGCCCGGGGTGAAATCTACTTACCTTCCCAACCAGTTCAGAAGTGCATGCGCTGCGCATGTGCATTCCCTCTGCACATGCGCAAACCCTTCTGCGCATGTGCACAGGGTAAAAAATTGGTTACTTCCTGGTTTTAAATGATGACCGGGTGGGTGGGCAGATCCTTGCACCGGTCCTTCAAACCACCAGTTCTTCAAACCACTGGTCTCTATTGCTAGCGGTTCGGCTGAATCGGTCCAAACCGGGAGCATTTCACCTCTGTATCTTTCTACTCTGTAATGACTTGCTCCCTATGAATATTGCTTCTGTGTTCCTGATATTGTATGCTGAATTTCTGCTGAACGGTATTGTTCATAAAGAAGTTGCTTATGTAATTCGAATCCTGCTGAAGTTCATTTCATTGTGTCTGATTGTGTGTGCTGCCACAAACTCCGACAGAAATGTCGCCGAGAAAGGACCCAGGTGGGATCTACACCTCCTCCTCCTCCTCCTCCTCCTCCTCCTCAAGGGTTAATAACAGCCTTACGAAACAGTCTCGCACCTTTTTGTAAAATGTGTTTGCGCGAAACGGTGCTACCAGACTTCCCCTGATCTGGGGCTACCTCAGAGTAACCAGAGACTAACAAGTTTCTCCCCCCCCCCTCTACAAAACTCTACAGGCGTTCTTGACATGACTCTCCTTAACTGGAGACTTGGAGAGAAAAAGGAAGAAAGGAAGAGGAGAAGAAACGGATGGGTAATAACCGCAAATGGAGAATTCGTCTTCACGATCCCTACATTTAAAAGATCATGCTGAAGAGGACAATTCAGGAGAGATTGAGAACAGTGGGGTCCTTGTAGCTTACTAAGTTGGTGGTTTGCTTGCAGACATTTCACGACCCAACTGGGTAACATCATCAGTGCTAGAAGGGGAGTGGGGTTTGCTCCCTGTTTATATACGATGGCTGTTGTGGCCCGTCAGTGGCCTGTGCGGATTGTAGCTGATTCTGACAGCGAGGAGGCTGGTGTAGTGTTGTGCCAGCAGCCTGTGCAGCTGGCGCTTGAGTCAGACAATGAGGAGGCTGGAGAAGATGTGGTGCCAGAGGCGGGGATTCAGCCAGGGCCTTCAGAACCTCCAGAAGCTCCCATAAGTGAAGAGGACGAAGAGGAGGAACCTCTTCTCGATGCACGGGCGCGCAGAGCTGCCAAAAGGCAGGAGTGGCTCCTCAGGAGGAGGTCTCCTCGAGAGAAAGGCTTGGGGCTAATTGGCCACTCCCTTAGCCTATTTAAGGAGGAACTCTGACTGAAGCAATTTGTAGGGAACAACTTTAGTTCACTCTACTTCGCGTCTGGATTCTCTGCAAATTGCTTCTGGGCTTTCTGCCAACCTTCGTAAGATTGTGATTACTTTATCTTTGGTTTCTTGTAGGCTGTTAAGAACAGCCTTTGTTTTGAAAAAGACGGAGTTATTTTAGTAAATTAAGTTTTGTACCAACTTTGTGTTTGCTGTGTTCTTTGGGATCCATAGCTGGGGCAGAACAATGGCTTTGCCCTGCCAGTGTTGGTGGGGTGTGGTTCTCTCCTTGGTAGGAGAAAACCAAAGAGTTTTGGTGGGAGAAAAACGACATCCATTAGCACTGGATGATGTGATCTAGTCGGGTAATAAAGCATCCACATACCAACCACCAAGTTCTGAGCTAGTATGTATAAACAGGCAGCAAATTCCACACTCCCTGATGATGTTACTTAGCTGGATCATGAAACGTCTACAAGCAAACCACCACGCTCAGAGAGCACCAGCCTTCAGCCCTGAGCTACAGATCGGTCTACTAGATCGGTCAATAAATCTGGCTGTTCACGGCTTTCGATGCCGGTCAGAAATAGGAAAACGGTGGCTTCTAAGACATTAGTGAAACGCGACACAGGGCATTCCCTCATCAGGCTAGCTTGCTAGGAATTCTGGGACTTGGAGGCCCAAGGCAACTGGAGGGCGCCATATTGGGGGAAAAAATATGGGTTAGGACCAACCAGTGTTGCAAGGAGATTACATATCGAGTGCAATATACCCAATCAAAGCATCTGGAGGGCTAGGGAAATGCAACATACGGTATTCCTTCATCAGGCTAGCTTGCTTGGAATTCTGGGATTTGGAGGCCCAAAGTAACTGGAGGGGCCATATTGAGGTGGGGGGAAAAGCTGGTGTAGGACAAACCAGCATTGCAATGTTATTGCAGAATGGGTGTAACCTACTTCATCATTCCCAAGGTATTCGGACAATACATACCTTTGGCCTTTTTCCCACCGAAGCAGCCTGCGTCGTCCTTCTTTTTCTTATGAGTTACTCCAAAACTTCCCATCTGGTTACTTTCTAATTCCCGGAACTTGTCGGCACCAGGAATTTCTTTGTGGACGTGGTAGGAAAGGTTCCTCATGATGCAGACGCAGTTCTCCACCGACTGGAGCAAGAAAAAGAAGATGGAAGACTTCAAAGAAAGACCCGTCACAGCAAGTCTCCAAGAGATGGTACAACAGTTTAGCAACAGTTTGAAGCTACAAGGGCTCTGAGAAAAGTAATTGGGGAATGATCCTAAGGCGGCCATTGCAGCCTTCCCACTGGTCATGTGTGTCAGGTTTCGGTGTCGTCTCAAATAAATTGCATTTCCAAACAAATAGTCTTTGATGAAATCTTTCATTTATTAAGCACGACCATCTGTTCCCGACTACGTCGTAGCCAACACTGACTTCCTGACCCCAAGCCTTCCTTTTCCGTTCCCCAATTCTCTGCGTCTCATTGGCCATCTTCCAAATCACTCTCCCCATATCTACTACTTCAGCTCCCAGGAATGTCCCCCCTCCCATCCCATCTCCTAGGGGATATTATCTTCAGGGAAAATAAGTAGGTGAAAAGTCAAGCGTCCTCTTGCCAGCTGCCCCCTCTTCTCCTCCTTATGTTAGCACTGGAACGAATATAGTTTGGAGTGCTGACATCGTGATCACAATTTGGGTGCTCAGCAACCAGCATACGTTTACGGCAGGGGTGGGCTTCAAAAATTTTAGCAAGGGGTTTTCTGCCTGGTTGCTGGGTGGGCATGGCCATGGTGGGCGTGGCCTAGTCGGCCTCCTGCACCATGGCGTTTTTGCCCTCCCCAGGCTCCAGAGGCTTTCCTTGAGCCTCTGAGAAGGCTTCCCATACTTCCGGTAGGCCCGTTTTTTACCCTTCCTGAGCCTCCGCGCACACCCTGCATCCAAAACGGGCCGCATGGGGACTCCTGGGAGGGGTGAGGCTGGGTGGGCAGAGCCAACCAGAGTAGGATTTGGGGGTTCTCTGAACTGCACAGAATCTTAGCTAGCGGTTCTCCCGAATCCCTGCGAACCCCCAGCAGCCCACCCCTGGTTTACGGTGGTTATGGAAGGCTCCTGGGGGGGAGGTGACGTGATCGGCATTTGTGACCTTCCCAGGGGGCATCCGATAAGCAAAATCAAGGGTGGAAGCCAGATTTGCTTAATGACTGAGGGACTTGCTTAAGAACCGCAGTGATTTGTTTAATGACTTCAGAAATTAGGTCATAATGTTATTTAGGTACTTGTTAAATTTGTAACGTCAGAATGGTGCTGTGGCCTAGAGGTGGAGCCCTTGCCTCACAATCAGGAGGCTGTGAGTTCGATCCTAGGTAGAGGCAGATATTTCTCTCTCTGGGTATAATGAGAATATATCTACTGGAAAAAAACTCCTCACTGGCGACAGGAAGGATATCCGGGCGGTAAACACTCTGCTAGCTCCATTCTGGTTTCCCAAACTCCATCCCGCAAGGGATGATGGGTTCATAAAAAAGGAGATGATGATGATTAAATTTACAACATCAGGGGTGACTCTGTTATTGTATGCATTACTTAGATGCTTAGATGTGATGGACATTCCTGACCCAATTGTGGTTGTAAGCCAAGGACGACCTGTATTCTCCTAAACCAGGGTTTTCTACAGTGGTGAAATTCAATTTTTTTTACTACCGGTTCTGTGGGCGTGGCTTGGTGGGCGTGGTGTGGCTTGGTGGGCGTGGACTGGTGGGCGTCAGAAGGATACTGAAAAATCTCCATTCCCACCCCACTCCAGGGAAAGGATACTGCAAAATCCCCAGTCCTGGGGAAGGATATTGCAAAATCTCCATTCCCACCCCAGTCTGGGGCCAGCCAGAGGTGGTATTTGCCGGTTCTCCGAACTACTCAAAATTTCCGCTACCAGTTCTGCAGAACCTGCTGGATTTCACTCCTGGTTGGCTGTGAACCATCCACGGTTCCAAACCATCGATGGCTCTTTTCCATTCCCTGCTACCTTTTCCCATGGCGAAGCCAGCATAGCAGGTCAATGGATGAGTGACTTCAAGCTTTTTAACAAAGCAAGAATTTATCAAAAACAAACTTTTGACAATTGACAAAGGAGCTGGAGTGGAGGGATACGTTGCAGGATGCATCTGAGATGCATCTGTGCTACGGCTCAAAGCCAGAAGATCTACAAGGAACGTAGAAGCCCAGTCTATCCTCCCCCACGGGTTCCACCTCCAGCTAATGAGTTGCAGATGGTGAAAAGGGAAAGACCACAGCGTGGTTTTTAATTTGTGTGGGCTTCTCAAGAATCTGGGAACAGCAGCCAAAGCTTCTACGTTGCATAGCTTTGCTGGAATATGTCCAGTCTTCAGCCCCACTCCTCCCTCCCGAAACATATACATATTCACAAACTGTGAACCCCTCCAACACAGAGACACGACTGCCAGCAACTCAGCCGCTGAGAAGAAGACTTGGATGTAGTCTTCATACTTTGGGCGGAAACACTCTTATCGGAAACCTTGGAAAGATGGGCTAGAGCAGAATAACATCAATCAGAATAGAGTTGGAAGCAGTGGTGGGATTCAGCCGGTTCGGGTGAATCGGTAATTGTGACATGCAGGTGGGCCCACCCCCGCCCAGGCATTATGCCATCCTATTTAGCACATTTTTTAAGCCGCACGAATGTGTGCAAGCTGCATGTGAGCAAAACACATGCAAAGAAGGCTGCACACATGCGCAGAAAGCCACGTGCATGTGCTCACATATTCAATTCCGGGCGAACCGGTTGTTAAATTATGTGAAGCCTACTTCTGATTGGATCATTCAGTCCAACTCAGTGGTGAAATCCAAATATTTTTACTACCGGTTCTGTGGGAGTAGCTTGGTGGGCGTGGTGTGGCTTGGTGGGCGTGGCAGGGGAAGGATACTGCAAAATCTCCATTCCCACCCCGCTCCGGGGGAAGGATATTGCAAAATCTCCATTCCCTCCCCACTTCAGGGGGAAGGACATTGCGAAATCTCCATTCCCTCCCACGCCTGGGGGAAGGATACTGCAAAATCTCCATTCCCACCCCGCTCGGGGGAAGGATATTGCAAAATCTCCATTCCCTCCCCACTTCAGGGGGAAGGATATTGCAAAATCCCCATTCCCTCCCCACTCCTGGGGAAGGATACTGCAAAATCTCCATTCCCACCCCGCTCCGGGGAAGGATATTGCAAAATCTCCATTCCCTCCCCACTTCAGGGGGAAGGACATTGCAAAATCTCCATTCCCACCCCACTCTGGGCCCAGCCAGAGGTGGTATTTGCCGGTTCTCCGAACTGCTCAAAATTTCCGCTACCGGTTCTCCAGAACCTGTCAGAACCTGCTGGATTTCACCCCTGCTCCAGTGACTCTCCTAGTCACAGGTGATTCTCCCTAATTTAAGACACTGGATTTTAAAGCAAAGGTCTTATGCGAATATAGGTCAATATACGTGTCCCAGGATAACATTGCTGGATCCAATCCAGCACATAATAAATACACGGGATTCTTCTGCGAGCTACAATTCCCTTTCGGACACGCAAGCCGGAGATTACCTTGTTATCCGTATCTTTTTTGCCGACGGCAGACTGCAAAGCATGGAGAAGAGCATCTACCAAACCTTCACATTCCCGGAGTCTCCGACGTGCTTCAGCACCATCCGAACTTACATTCCTGCAAAATAGGAATAATAATATTAATAATAATTACCGGGGGGTCACATGATTTGCAGAAGCTTTCCAACCAATTAAGCAAGTTCGGCTTTTAAGTGCACCCATTGTAGGTGTCAAGAGGCTAAGTAGTCAATACATTTAAAATAATACTAATACTAATACTAATACTAATACTAGTAATAATAATAGTAATAATAGTAATAATAGTAATAATAATAATAATAATAATAATAATAATAATAATAATAATCCTTTTTGCCATAGTCCTCGATTTACAACAGTTTGTTTGTGATTATCCCAGTCGGTTTCCGACAAGCAAAATCAATGGGTGAAGCCGATTTGCTTAATGACCACATGATCCACTGAACAATGACAGTGATTTGCTTGTGGCAAAAAAAAAAAAAAAAAGTCGTAAAACCAAGCAGAATCATACGACAACTCAATGACCGCATCCCTTAATGATGAAGAGGTTCTGCTCCCAATTGTGGTCGTTAAGTCCAGGACTACTTGTAAGTGTGAAGGAATGTGGAACTTGGGCGAGGAAGAAGTGAGCAGTTATAGGGGATGTGTGGAAGGGAGGGAGGGAGGGAAGGAAGGAAGGGAGGGAGGAAAGGAAAGAAGGAAGGAAGGAAGGAAAGAAAGAAGGAAAGAAGGAAGGAAGGAAGGAAGGAAGGAAGGAAAGAAGGAAGGAAGGAAGGAAGGAAAGGAAGGAAGGAAGGAAGGAAGGAAGGAAGGAAGGAAGGAAGGAAGAACAATAGCACTTAGAACTTATATACCACTTCACAGTCCTCTCTAAGCGGTTTACAGAGTTAGCCTCTTGCCCCCAACAATCTGGGTCCTCATTTTACCCACCTCGGAAGGATGGAAGGCTGAGTCCCTACCGCATTCCAATTCTTGCCAGATTCACTTAACAACCTCATCACCAGCTTCACAAGTACCCTGATTCAGTTAACAACGGTGGCAAGAAAGGTCATAACACGGGAGCAAAAAGTCATTTAACAAATATCCCACTTAGCAACAGAAATGTTGGGCTCAATTGGGGTCGTAACTCGAGGATTACCTGTATAACTGGGAAAAATACATCTTTTTAAAAAAAAAAAAATCTGCATTTTTCACACATCATTTCAATTCCGGTCATTGTCATTTGGTAAACCGGGGAAGGGAGGAAAAAAAAAAAAAAGATTTCTCACTTGAAATTTTTCCAAATTGGATCAGCTTATCCTTTGGCCATCAGCTCCAACCACCGTAAATGACTTTGGGAAGGGCAATGTCCTCTATTTTTCTTTCCACCCAATCCAGCTTCTGTTAATATTTGTGAACAGGCTAAGAGGATTGTCGATGTGCAAAAGGAAGAGCTAAGCCCCATTAAAGACACAGAGCAATTAACTAAAGCTAATTAGCTGAGCCTCTTTACACAATGTAAACCAGAAATCCAAACACAGGGATGATACCTTGAAGTCATGATAGCCAGTTCCAAACATATTGAAAAGAAACGCAACTTTTTTTTTTTAATTTAAAGCTTGAAGGAAGGACAGAGTGGTCATTTTTTAAAATAATAATAATAATAATAAACCACCTGGAGCTGTGCACAATTTTGGCCTTTATTAAAAGTCTTTCCCGTGTACATTTTAATTGTCTCTTGTTCTGAAGCCTCTTTCCTTTATTGGAAACCTAACAGAATTTTAATGAAGAAATGATCAGATTATTTTCTTGAAACAATCCCCGCTTTGCTAATTTTCATGTCTTTGGAAGAGAATTTTAAGTGGATCGTTTAGGCCAATGCACTTCTGAAAACATCCAATTTTTGGGGTAGGGGAGAAAGAGATGAATGCTTCAGGAAAGCGAGGCGAACACTGGTTTTTATTATCTTACATTAATAAGCATTGGAATTAATGTTCTAATTAGATGACAAAAGAGCAGATCTGGAAAACCTCGGGGCAAACTTCATAGAATCCATTAAAAAAAAAAATCACAGAAATATGTATTTGGGGGGAAAAAAACAACCACTTCCCCAAAATTTAACCGAGTGCTCGAGGCATCCCTCTGCTTGAATCTTGCCAGGGTTTAGTAGCTTCTTCAACTTGGCAATAATGTAATATTCTCGTTTGTGAAATGACACAATTGATTTGTGCAAGAGATATCTATGGACATTCTCAATCACCCAGATCATCAGAGGTGGGTTTCAGCAGGTTCTGACCAGTTCTGGAGAACCGGTAGCGGAAATTTTGAGTAGTTCGGAGAACCGGTAAATGCCACCTCTGGCTGGACCTGCCCCCACCTATTTTCTGCCTCCTGAGTCCCAGCTCATCAGGAGGAAATGGGGATTTTGCAGTAACCTTCCCTTGCCACGCCCACCAAGCCACACCCACAGAACCGGTAGTAAAAAATTTTGAAACCCACCACTGCAGGTCATGGTTGTCCCAAAGGTGCTTTTTCAAGAGGCAACTGGACTTTCTTGGTTTTCCTTTGAAGACGTTTTGCTTCTCATCCAAGGAGCTTCTTCAGTTCTTCAGAAGGGAAACGTTTTCAAGGAAAACCAAGAAAGTTCAGTTGCCTCTTGAAAAAGCAACTTTGGGACAGACAAGTGAGATAATCCATCTTTTTTCCCCTGGAGTTCACACTCAAGATAACGTTTAATTTACCAAAACCCTGAAATAATTTTCAGCGCTGACATAGAAAAGGGAGGATGAAGCCTGAACTTTTGCCTGCTAACTCCCTTTGAAGATTCGGTCTCCTTGGAGATGAGGAGGGGGGGAAACATTCCTGTGAACTGATGGGAAAAGGAATCAGGAGAGTGACTTGGAAGATAGCCAATGAGAAGCAGAGAATTGGGAATCGGAAAGGGAAGGTTTGGGGGGCAAAGGTCAGTATTGACCACGAAGAGCCAGGATCCGGTTGCTGTGCTCGAATAAAGAGAAAATTTCCTTAAAGATTGGCAGTTTGGAAGTTCATTTATTTTGAGATAGCATCGAAACCTGACACATGGCTTCTTAACTCCCCAAATCTTATCACCGATAAGCATTCAGCACCCAAATCATGAATCCTTGTATATATTCATACTTGGGAGGCCGCCATCTTAGAAAATGGCAGCTATTGAAGGACTGGTCTATATTTGTGCATAAATTCCACCCTTACAATGTTGACATGACTTAAGATAAGCAAATCTGCCATGTGTTGGTTCCTTAAACAATGATCTTTTTTATGAGGCTAGCCCCATAGTCAAATATGGACTCATACCACAAGCAAGATTTGAGCACTGAATTCAATGCTTGAGCACTTCCAAGGACCGGAAAAGCTTTCCCGTGTTTCATCTCCCCGTAATCCTGTGTCACCTTGGCTTTGTAGCAAAGACTCTTGTTTAAAATTAGCTGAGGAAAAAGAAGTCTTGAAGCAATACGTTCACACATTTGAAGAGACAGATTGCCACTTGTAGATTGCCACTTGATTTCTTTTCTTTTTTTCAAATCACTTGCCAGAATAAACAAGCTGACTTGGATTTAATCCATTTAACATACTTTGCAGAACATCCTTCCTTCCTTCCTCTATTTCCTTCCTTTCTTCCTTGCTCCCTTCCATTTCCTTCCTTCCTCCTCCTTCATTCCCTTCTTTCCTCCTCACTTCCTTCCTTCATTTCCTCCTTCCCTTCCCTCCCTTTCACTCTTTTATCTCCTTCCTTCCTTCCTTTCCTTCCTCCAGTTCCTTCCTTTCTTCCTCATGCCCACCCTTCCTTCCTTGCTCCCTTCCATTTCCTTCCTTCCTCCCTCTTTCGTTCCTTCCTTCATTTCCTCCCTCCCTTCCCTCCCTTTCACTCTTTTATCTCCTTCCTTCCTTCCTTTCCTTCCTCCAGATCCTTCCTTTCTTCCTCATGCCCACCCTTCCTTCCTTGCTCCTTCCATTTCCTTCCTTCCTCCCTCTCTCGTTCCCTTCCTTCATTTCCTCCCTCCCTTCCCTGCTTTCACTCTTTTACCAAATACCTCCTTCCTTCCTTCTTTCCTTCCTTTTCTTTCCTCTCTCTCTTTCCTTGCCTCCTTCCCTCTCTTCCTTTATTATCCCTCCTCCCTTTATATTTTTCTCCCTCCCTTCTTTTTTTCTCCCTCCCTCATTCTTCTCCTCCCTCCCTCCCTCCCTCCAATATATCCTGCAACTAAATATATATTCTGGATCAAACTATAAAAGTAGAATTGACCCTTGCTAGACTGATCAGATATGAAGATGTCTCTTTATCTTTCCGTCTAATATCTGAAGTGCTGAAAAAGCAGAGAAAATACCTTTGGAAGGAGAAGTAATTAAAAAAAAATTTAGATTGTGCAGAAATGAATAGATTGACTTTGATGATTAAAGAAAGAGAAGATTCAGAATACCTTAAGATATGGAATCAAGTCTATTATTGGTTAGAAAAGAGATACAAATAAGTAAATTAATAGTTATGTATAAAAATGCTCTAATCAGAACATTTTGTTAGTGATGAATTGTTGTCATTGATTGGATGAGAATGAAGACAGAAAAAAGAAAAGAAGAATGATTCGAGACAACACCGAGATGTCACATGGAAGGAATGACTGTGGTATTAAGTGTCTGATGAAGTGCTTTTGGTGGGAAATGAAGTAAATACCCACTATCTACTATCTGCCAGTTTAGAAGTATATCTTTGTTAGCTGCTAAATCCTTGAGTCCTCCTTGTAAGGAGTTTTTATCCCAACATATCTTCAGGTCTCCAGACTGGATCGACTCTTCCCTGATGACTTCCTACTGACAAAAATGTGAAGATTCAGACAGGTTGTTGACTGAATCCACCGACATATAATTTACCATAAATATTGCAATTTGGTCAACGTTGTGTAGCAAATGGCTTTTTTTGTTGCAATTTGGTGGTTAGGTTTATTGATGTTTTCTGCCTGGTTGCTTTGATGTTTAAATTGTTACTTTGGATGTAAACATTCCCTGACCATCCATAGAGACGAAGGAGAGAGATATGCATTTTAAGAAATACAGAAAAATACT